CTATGCGTGGCTTAACATACGTCACTCACTCCGTTGCTCTTATTGGTTGTAGGTCTATCCAATTGAGTGCAGAGGCATTTTTTTTCCTGGTTCGTTCAAAACACGCCCCATAACCACAGCTCTATGGAGCAGTATCAGACTCATATTCTGACTAGAATTGAGTAGGACTACGTCAGGCTAGCACAATTTATGCCATAATCAAAGAGAAAACACATCGGACATTTGCTCTAAAGCAGCAGCAGCAGCCTCCCTCAGTAGCTCTGCCACTGATTTCGTCATTGTGCTCGTTCAGTATGTCCCGATAGTCAGACACAGATGAAGTTTTCAGGTGGACTTTCTCACTTAAAAACATATTAAAACGCCTTTTTACTCACTGATCACAGAAAATAGAGCAAAGCCGCTCTCTGCCATTGAACACAGGAGCAGCAGAAACATCAGAATCATCTGGACTCACTTTACTGGACGTCTGACCAGTAAAGCATTTTGGCTGCTTCCAGCTCGCTTGCGGTCTGAACGTAGCATCAGAGTCTTTCCCGGAATCACAGAAAGATGCAGACAGCTTGTTCTGTTTGGTCTTTCATTGACATCCTTTTCTTTCTATTGAAGTTTGAACAAAGTCGTCCCTCTGGAGTGTCTGACATTACGTTGCATCTCCCCTGTGTGGTCCTGACTGAGCAATGGAGTGAAGCTTAATTTTTAGGGAGGTTTTTTTTATTGTTTCCTGTTCTTTGCCTCTGCAGGAGCTCGGTTGAACTGTGATAACTGTGGTAAGAACACAGTACCTTCGTATCACCTGGCCATGTCAGATACCTCCATCAGGAACTTCTGCAGCATGCCGTGCGTCATGACTTTCCAGGTAGAGATGCCACGGCACACACCACCTGCAATAGAGGTGTGTAGAGCTTCGTTCGGGCTGTAATACCCAGAACTGCGTTGTTTCTCCTCACAGGACAAGTTCAAGAAGAATCAGACGCAGGTGAATGCTTTCACCAAGCTACCGGTCGGGTCCTCCCAGTCCAAGATCGCCACTCCAACACAGCTGGTCGATGCCATGAAGCTCAACTGCTTCCAGTGCAGCCAAGTCATCACGTCTAAGCCTGAGATCATCCAGATACAGGTAGGTTAGCATGGCGGGGTGGATGAACCAGCATCTGAGGTTTAACCCCCGAGCTGCAGAAGATGGCGATAAAGCCCGCAGTATGTTTTTCACTCTGATTTGTCTGTTTTTTGCAGGACAAGATAGTTTTCTTGTGTAGTTCTGACTGTTCGATGGAGTACAAGAAAGCCAACGCTGTGATGAGTCTGTGTGAATACTGCAAGATCGAAAAGATCACCAGAGAGGCCAAGAGAATCAACAACAAAGACTGCTACTTCTGCAGCGACGGTAGGCGCCGCGCCCCACAGAGCCTTTTGTTTAAGCCTCTATAAGCCACCTGAACCATTTAAACCATATATGCCAGAATTACAAAAAATCTGGCCGAAACACTGGCATACGTCAGATAAGCTATAGGTATGTTTTGTAAAAGTTATGAGCACGCTAAAACGTATCCCACGTGTGGGGCATAAGTAACAGGTAAGTTATCTGATCATTGGCATGCGTTAAGTGTAAGTTACTCATAAGACGTGGCGTCTAACTTATCCATAAACTATGAGTACTTGTGTGTAATTTATCAAGAACGTATCTCCAAAGCATATTGACGTATTCCAGACGAGCGCTGAACGTGTTTCTAACTTACAGCTACTGTATAATGGAAGAGTCTGCGAAGCAGTAATCAAAGCAAAAGGACATATTTTCAGTTGTTTCACACTTTTTTTGTTAAGTAAATAATTCCATCCGTGTTAATTCATAGTTTTGATGATTTCAGTGTGAATCTACAATTTTCATAGTCATGCAAATAACGAAAACTCTTTGAATGGGAAGCTGTATCCAAACTTTTGGTCTGTACTGTATACCGACCTTTTATTTGGTGGAGGGTTTTGTTTCTATTAATGTTGAGGTGAATTTGGTTTGATGTGGAACAATCTCTTCTGTGTGCATTTGGTTGATTCATTGATGTTGTCGGTTGTCAAATTGTCAGGTCTAAGCACCTAAAACATCATACATGCATACATG